TTCATATACGATCTTCATCTCAGTTTTTTATATACGCTCTAAAGATTTTATTTTATGCTTAACCACTACTTATCCTGCTTTGGTCTATATATGATCATACTAACAGGAACTGACTGAACATTTAATGTGTCTAGGTGTTAACTGTTCACATTCGCTTATATTGGAATGTTATTGTACACCAGCCAATTGGAAATTCTTGCCTAAAGGATCAGTCTAGGTTGATATCTAATGTGAAAATAGATAGCGAAATGGTTGGGCTAGTTGATCAGTTCACTTACTTTGGTGAGTAGAATTAAGCTTGATCGATGAAATCACGTCATGTATACAAAAAGCTGGATTGGCTTTTGCAAAAGTATGCCATCTATAGAGTTGGCGAGGTACACCCTGTCACCTACTAAAAGTATAATGTACTGAGCATCAGTTGCGTGTCATGGAACCACCACGTGTGTTTAGGTTGCAGACGGTTAGACTAAAAAATGGTACCAGTTTATGTTGGTGAATGTGAACTTTCCGATTGGAGTCCATGTGATAACCAAAATCGATGGTTGGCTATTCTTAGCGACGTAGCAGCTTGGAATCGGTTTCAGTGTCGCAGATGCATTCACACATCATCCTCGTTCTAACCGTTGTGTATTACATTTCGTTATTCGCTTTATAGCCTCTTTTTCTCTTATGACTTTCAGTTTTTTTCTCCTATTTCTCTATCTTTGACATTGATATCTTCTGGCTTCATGTGCTTATGCAAGGCAGTGTCAGTTGGAGCGTTACCTAGTATTACTGCCTCCCATGTTTATATTAACTTTTTGACCCATGGACTGTAAATCTTTTTTCATGGTGTTATGTTCGCTTAGCTAGATGTAAACCCTACTCACTATTGTATTAGATGTAGATGATTGAAATTAAGTGAATACCTAATTCCTCTCGGATTCGAACTTCTCTTCTGAGGATTATTTGCCTAATGTTTTATCAACTGAACCACTGGATCGAATTCCTAACCCTCAGCTCACTTTCAGTCTAATCACTAAGATTTATTATTTGTGTAATCCCGGCGTAGTATATTAGAACAAATAACAAAATAAACTTTGTATTATTCCTCAACTTCTCGATCTTGTATGGAAGGTCCTTTTCAAGAGTATGTAGTTTATTTTCTACACTTGTCCAGTACTCCGGGGTTACCAATATCCTTCCAACTGATGTCAGTCCATGATGAATACCAACTTGGAATCACTGAATCTCTACAAACCCCCCAAATTAAACTGATCCAGTGCTCATTGGTGACTAACTTGAAGACGTGATTCGTGAAGTTCCAGTGAGAAATCCTGACCGGTGGAACAAACCTGGTGACAAATACTCAACGACGAGATTGGGTTGATGGTCGCACTGTGTTATGACCTAACGCAGTGGCTCAGTGGTAATGTGCTGGCTGCGAGACCTGAAGGTCTTGGGTCCGATCCCTGGCGGGGTGGGGTCATGGGTGCGCACTGCTGAGAAGTCCCATAATGATTTAGGGGCATATTAGACAGCTTGTGTAAATCATTAATTATTTGCATTATGCATACATACCATTTGAACACAGAATAAAATCGATTAATTCATGACATTTTAATGAATCACATGTTTCTATTGATTGATTGATTGATCGATTGGTCGAACATGGTGAGAGAGATTAAGATTTTGATTCGATGAATTAATTAAATATATATGTGCATGCATACCTGAATGTCTTAAAATTAATAGCGTTATTGATGAGATTTGTTATTTAAGGTTTATTTTTCTTAATGAGACCATGGTCTTTTTCTGTGAATTTATTTCATCATTAAATCCCCTTGAGTATGCATATATTTCGTCAGGTGTGATATTATTACTTTAAAGGGTTGTTTATAGGTTTACTTTAGAAGAGAAGACTGTAGAATGGGTGTACACTGCTGAGGAGTCCCATTTTAGGACGAAACAGCTGTCCAATGCTCTCAGGTTTTCAGTGTTTCTCCAACCGATATCAGTCCATGATGAATATCAACTTGAAAACCGTAAAATTTATTGTATCGATTACATATCATCACAGTGGTGTTATGCTGGATTGACCTGAATACTTGGGCTTACAAAGAATTGACTTACGGGGTCGAATTATGCTCCCCCTATCGATAGCTATCAGTAGACCTCATACATGAGTTGAATTTCGTCGTCTAGCACAAGAACTTGCATTATTTATTACTTTTACACACCATGTAATTCAGATCATGGGTTTTAAAAAGTGGACTGAACGAAAAGACTAGTATTTTGAGTAATGGATATTCGGTTTCACTATTAGTTGGAAAACCGGCATGGATGCAGAAAGGTGAGATTGTCAAAATAGAACATGTGTCCCGAATCCTACCACTGAATATGGTCATTTTTCTGTACATATTTATTAACTACAATGGTGAATGGAAATCACTTCATCGCAGTTGATACGTGGTTGTGGACTGTTGCTTTAGGTAGATGACTTACTACCAAGTAGGTTGTAGGTTAGAACACCACTCCACCTACCCGAGGTTTGAACAGCCAGGTAGTATCATTAACCTCTCAAATAATATTTGTATGACTCACTGCCTACTGTACGAATGTGCATAAGGTAGCTGTATGGACTTCAGTCTGTGATTTGAACATTTACATACAGAATTGTCTGCTAAACTGAGTTCCATTCATATACTTGTCATGAGAGTAATAATATTTGGCTTACCTAACCTTGATACGTTGGAAAGAGAGAGAGAGAGAGCATATTTTTTAGTTGGTTGGGGGTAATTGGCAGGTTTCACACTTGTTGGCACTCCTCAGCAAGGTGTTTCTGAAACCTCCAAAGGGCTGATGCCCCTAGTGAGATTCGAACCCGCTTCACCCAGTGGTGTAGTCAGTAACCTTAACACTGAGCTATTTGGGTAACAGTTGACCTCCCGTAGGACTGTGTTACGTACATTGACTGGTCACTGGAGAGCAACCAATTCCATGTAAATGGTTAACTGGAAATTGAATGTATAGACCAATCAATCTATAGATACACTTCAAGCCATCTAAGAGGAACCATATCATTTCTATTTTGAGAATTTACTACTCTTCTTATTTTCTCGTCATCAAACTCAAGAAGGAAAAAATTGAGTCTATTGTCATTACGCGTAGAAAACAGTCATCATGTATTCTAGAGTTTCAAATGTTGCTTAGTCATATTATTTTATGATTGAAGCTGTTGTCATGTGTTATTTAGCTACACTACTAGTTATGTCAGATGCTAGGAGTCAGTTTGTAGGAAGCTATATTGTACATTGATGGAGAAGATTTGTGGCTCAGAATAACGATAATTGTTCGGCCTTCTCCGAGACTTACGGTTTCTTCTTGGAAGTTTTATCATCAGGTCAGGTAACTTCATTCACATTTACTTGATTAAACAAATGAAGCATTTTCAACCTGTATGATGTTTATAGAGGACATTTGCCGACCTTGATCTCTTCTGACTGGGGAGGGGGGGGGTACCAGTAGCAGCCTATCCTTTTTTGTAAAAAAAATTGGAGGTTGACCTTTATGACTGTTGTCATCTATTGATCTATGCTGATGAGCTAATGTCTGGCTGATTTCCAGTTGGTCAATCTCTTTTTGGCAGCCCTTATGTAGGGATCGATGCCTACGAATGTATTGATTCCCATTTAATTGGAGAACCATGTTTCCAGGAAATCTCTCACCACTTTTCAGCTTGTTGTTGTAGTTTTTCCACGTTTTCCCAATCGAAGTTGTGGTTCCGCTTATGTACATGCATCGATATCAATAATAATATCTTGTATCATTTGACTGCAATGTTATTCTCATAAATTCTTTCGGCTATCCGACCACTCGATTGACTAACATACTTATGTTCATAGTCTTTGCACCTAAGGTTATAGAGCATATTTGTCCCGTTTTCTTTTGGTGATGGATGCTTTAACTGGGATAATATGTTGTTCAGGGATTTGGTTAGTTTGTATGCCACGCTGAAACTGAATGGATAAAGTGATCGGTCGATAGTTTCTGAGACATCTTTAGATGTATGGTAAAGTGATTCTTTCTGTAGTCTAAGACAATTTTCCTTCTGCATGTTCCGTTGACATACATCTCTCGATGAAGTTGGTTAAGTGGATAATTATTGGTTCTGGAAACTGTAAAGGTGGTTTTCTTTCGACTTCTACAGTTGAGTGCTGTAATGAGTTGTGATATCGATACAGTGTAGATGAACACAACCACAACTTCGGTTGGTACTACGTGGAAATACCACGTCAAGCAAGCTTTAAAAAAAGAGAGCGATCCACAGATACGTGGACACTGACCCTTATATACGAACTACTACAAAGGGATCAGATAATTGGAAATCAGCCGAGCAAACCAATAACCAAACATTAAATCAACAGCAGAGATCAATAGATGACAACAGTCATAAAGATCAACCTCTGATAATGAAGAAAGAAAGACAGGCCACTCCAACTCCCAGTCACCCAACCAGTAGAGATCAAGGTCGGCAAATGTCCTCTATAAACATTCATACAGGTTGAAAATGCTTCATTTGTTTAATCAAGTAAATGTGAATGAAGTTACCTGACCGGATGATAAAACTTCCAAGAAGAAACCTTAAGTCTCAAACAAACCAGGAAATTATCACTTTAATCAGTATTTAGAACCTGAGCACTGCATTAGTTGTTGTCTACCTATCAAGTTATTTGTATAATCTACTTCTGCAGGAGTTAGAAGTATTTAATCAGCTTAGTTTTAATGTCGTTGACTTCAGCATTCAATTGTATGGCTTTAATCCCAGAAGAATGCACTTATTCCTCATGGTTTCATGTGTTTAATTGAAAACATGTCATATCTAGTTTACTAACTTCATTTTATCGATAAACTCTAAGAAACGCTTAGATATTTTACTGATGTGTTTAATACGCTTCATAAACAAACTTGTCTTCCATTACTTATCTTCTTTCTCTATCCCTTTTGTTCTCTGTTAGTGATAATCATTCTATGGATGATGAAGATGACGATGTTGGTATCGATTTATTCGATTTAGATCATTCCGATTCATCACTGAATAATCCCGGTGATGGTATGCTTGAAATGCAGCAACATCAAATCCACCATCATCATCATCAACAACAACAACAACAAATACATAAGGATCAAATCAGAACTGGTATTGGTACAACAAATGATGGAGATGATGATGAAATGAAACAAGAGATGAATTGTCTAACTAAGGTTAAATTGTCTCCAAGTCAAGTCGATATGAATCTGGGTATTTCACAAACATATCCTTTCGGTAATTAATTATGTATATTATGATTCTCTGCGTCGATATTTTGTTATTTTCGTTGTAGTCAGTTCTTTGTGTACTTCTTTCAGCTATTTCAGAGGTGAAATATCAGAGAAGTCTTTGATAGATTGCTAGGCTGCTATCGGGTGGTTACTGTTGATGTTTAATGATGGATTAAATTGTGAATTATCATCAATGCACATTTTTTGGAGTTGTTAGTTTATTGATCTCTATAGAGTTGAATTTTAACCAATTGGCTATGGGTTCGATCCCCACTCCACCTACTGAGGTTTGGCTAGCTAAACAATATCATCAACTCTTACACAATAAGTATGTATGCGACTTACTGTGTAGTAAAGTAACCTGTGTATGGTTAATAATATACATTGATTGTTGTGAATATGCATTTTCAGTCTATTTTGATTTTTCATTTTAACTATCTGAGAGGTAGCCGTGTTTTTCGCAGACTAGTATTGATTCTAGGTGATGATTGAAAGTGAAATCAAAATCTCAACTATGGTTGAACTCGAACCAGTGGCCTCTGGGTTCTCGGCCCAGTACTTTGCCAATTGAGCTACGATGTTTGACTGCTGACCAGATTTTTATTTCACTTCAATCATCAAAGGTTTTGCCCGACTACTAAGTGAATTCATGACGCGTTACTATCGCTTGATTGTACTCACACTAGCTGTCTAATCAGGACTTCTCATTCCAATCCAAATCTAACTGAATTAGAGAGGGGGAGCATCACATATTGATTATCATTTTGACTATGTGAGATACCTGTGGTTTGTCAGACTATTATTGATGCTGGTTTGTTTTCGTTCACGTCTCTTGCTCGGTTTTTACATCAAACATATTACATTACCCTTCCGGTCATAACTCCATCCCCGTCACCTTATGTGTCGTGGTTGGTTATCTGAAAAGGAACCATCTATCTCGAGATGTGGCTGAAGTTTTCGGGATATATCCTACTTGATGAATATTATGGCTCGGTGTTTGGTTCTTGATTTCCATCCCATTGGAGCTTCTGTAGGAGACTTGTAGTCTGATACAGCTTCCTTTGGGGTCATATGATAAGTGAGTCAGGACTGGTGTATTATGTCCTACCTAACCACTAATCTTAAGCAGTGCTTTCATGAGTCTGTCCACAAGTGTTTCTGATTTGTCATTGATGATGTAGTGGTTCACAAAACTTTTGAATTTCTTTCTGTTGGCAGTATTTCTCAAATTGATCTGACCTAAACTGGGGAACGTCATTGGAAACAACGGTTTTCAGTAAGTTGTGACTGAAGAAATTGGTAGAAAAGATTTGTGATGCAATGTACTTTTTAGTGGGTCTTGGACCATTTAGAAAATCCATCAAATAAAACTAAATAAAGTATTAGAAAAAACTGGTCCAGCAAAATGAACCGGGATGCGCGTATATGATCGTTCTTGGCATGACCAAAGATCCTGAGGTAACCTTAATGTATGTTAACCAACTTGTCGACATTGCCGACGTATCCTGAAAGTCAAGGTTTAGTTCATTCATACGTGATGAATATGCATAACTATCTGCGAGCAATCAGTTTCTTTTATTTAACTCCTGAGTGACCAGCATGACACTGACATAGAAGTTTATCGCTAAGTAACTTAGGTACGATAATTTAATCTCAGAACATAAAACAGTCGGTTATTGTGCAGAAAGAATGTTGTAACTCATCATTGGAAGTTTTTTAATCGGTCACTGACTGATGATAAAGTCGATCGACCCTTATCAAAATTTCATTTTTTTTTGGACATTGGCTGTAGTCATTAGAATAAAGCATTAGATTGCATAATCTCTTCTATAGAAACTATCGCTATGATGATTTTTCTGTTCTAATCTATGTTAGTTAGTTAGTTAGTTATCAGAAGGCGAGATTGCGTTCACTAAACTCACTTGTGCATCTATATTGAATTCTGAACTTATATCACAGTAATATCAGCGTCCACGTTTATACAGTCTATTTGCTTGATGATGAGAAATGCCAGAGTATGACGCAAAAATGGATGACATAAACTTTTGATTTACCAGAAGCGTAAAACTCTAGTCATAGATCAGCTCTTTGAATTAGCGTAGAGCAAAAAAACAGCTTGGAATTTTCTTTTCCATTCGACTATGTTTTTCCTTTCTGTAGGGGTCAGTATTCAGAATACATGGATAATTATTGACTTTTCTATGACATAAGAAAAAAAAAGGTGCAGTAAGATTGCACAAATTTCTTACGCGGAAACATCTACCACTATGATGATTGCTAAATGGAGATCATAGCACATGAGTGACAGACGTTGAGTTAAGCATTTGAACTCCCATGGCACATTTGACTTAACATTTCCATGGAACGTCTTCACAAAACAATACTCACTGGTGGATACTGGTAATTGTTGTACTCTGTAGAAAGATGTATAACCTTTTCCTCAATTCATGTGACTGGCTAACTATTACTACTTTTTCAAAATATGGGCAAGTATGGTGTCTTTCAGTTGCTGGAAGATCTCTGTAACAATTTTTACATTGAACGACGACCAAATGTGCGTCCTAAAGAAACCATGGTGTACGTTGGTTGTTAAACATTTCCTGCGCTCAGAGGCTGATAACTTTTTAGAGGTACTCATTGACTAGATCGGCTATGACAGAACATTTACTACCATTAAAAAGATCTACTGCTGGTAAATAGTGATGGTATTAACTCCAGCACCACATCAAGAGTACGGTTGAGAAATTAGTATAAATTTGAATCACACCATTTGATTTTCTTTTAATGATGACAGTAGGTGCTATGCTACCCAAGCAGAGTAATGACGCCTTACTATTCTAAACGTTCTGGTTTTTCTTCTCCTAGTGACAGTAATAATTCAACAGTTGGTCGTTTTGGTCAAAAGACAAGAGTTGCGTTCTTATTCATATGAAGTGTTATTTCCATCATATTGCAGCAGTGTATTATTTGTCCCTTGGGTTCCTAATGGAATATAGGGTTTCAGTAGCATGTCTCCAATGCGCTCTCTTCTCTGAAATCTTTTCAACCTGGCTCCACGACAGCCCACAACCTCTCATTTCCTCCTCACACGATCTCCTCCATGTCACCCTCTGCTCACAAACCCAACTCGTCGTTTCGCATCTGGGTTCCACTCGAGTGCTTTGCCTGATGCGTGATGTCACCAGTCGGCCTTCTCAGTGCATGCCCAATCCATCTCCACTTACACTTACACTTCCTTCCACTACATATTTGTTGGGTGATAGGTTCTTGGTTGGTTGGTTGGTTGGCAGCCAGCCAGCCAGCCAGCTAGAGTTCCTTGTTGCCTATTCTTATTGTTCTGGCCATCTGATGTTCAGTAGCGAGCCAGCGTAGATGGCAGTTGTTGATGAATATCTGTAGTTTATTGGAAATGCTTTTCGTAACGCGTCGGCAAGTCTCTGAAGCATACAGAAGCACTGACTTGACTGATGTTGGTGTTGAGAATCCGGATGTTGTTCACGCGTTATGCTGAGTGCAGTGCAGTGCAGAAGATCTCCACACTGTTTTCAGGTTAATGAAGGCCTATCTTATTATCTTTCCTATCCTGTCTGGCTTTGACGTCCTCATCTGTGCCTGTGACACCACCTGTAGTTGAAGGGATACTGCCTACATAGGTGAAATAGGCTACTTCTTTTAAGTTTCTCTCGTTGATGGTGATTGGAGTTTGTTGTTGTTGTTGGTGGGGTGTTGGTTGGGTATCATGATCACCTCTGTCTTCTCTATATTCACTTGAAGTCCCGTCTTCCTTCGCTGCCCTGCCTCACCTCTTCTGTCAACTTGTTAGTTTTCGCCTGTAGATCTTCGAGTTTGTGTGACAAGACATTAGACACAAGTCATCGTTGGCGAAACCCAAATCTCCTTCTGGGGTCTTTTCATCGGTCCAACCAGCGTATGCCCATCTTCTCACTCCTCACTGTTTGTTACATGATCGAGTCCAGTCGACCACAATGAGGAATATGATGGGTGATAGTAGGTGGCAGCCTTGTTTACTCCTGTTTTCACTTCACTTCAAAAGCATCAGTGAGTTTCCGATTGTGAATTAGTTGGCTGGCATGTGGTGTCTTCATATAGTTGTTGAATGAGATTGATAAAGGTTTGTGGTATTCCGTGGTATTGAAGCAGTTTCCAAATTACTTGTCGATCGACGCTGTCAAAGGCCTTCTCAAAATCGATGAAGTTGGGGTAGAGTTGAGTTGACTACCATTCTATACTCCCTTCTATGATGATGCGTAGTGTAGCTTTACAATTTGATCCACACATGATTTGTACTTCCTAAAGCCATCTAGCCAGCTTGTTCCCGTCATAGTTTTGAATCCACTGCATCCTTTAGTCTCTCCAGGATGATGCGGCTTAATATTTTGCTTGCTTTGGGTGGGTGGACAGGAGAGTGATTGCGCGCCAGTTGTTGCAAACACTGAGGTCTCCCTTCTTCGACAGTTTGACAAGGTATCCCTTCTTCCAATCAGTAGGCAGGTACCTTCTCTTCCTTCCACACCTTCTGCAATAGTGGTGTGGTGTGAGCATGTCCGCTGCTGTTGTCTCTGCATCTGTTTTCAGTGCTTCTGGCGGGATTCCATCTGGTCGTGCTGCTTTCCCACATTTCAGTAGCTTTATGGCGTTCAGGACTTCCATTTTTGTTGGAGGATTTGTGTTCACTTGTAGTTCAGCGGTTGGGCTGCAGGTGATATTTCTGGAGGAAGTGCAGGTGGTGATGGTGGTGGTCGATTGAAGAGCTTCTTGAAGTGGTCGGCCCATCGTTTCCTTTGTTTCTCTTCTTTGGTAATTAAATTTCCATCATCATCTTTTATTGGTTTCATCTGTGTTGATCTCTTTCCAGATGGCAACCTAGTTATTTGATACAATGTTGTCAGGTCTGTGTCTCTCCTACCTGCAGCCTGTTCTGCTTCACTTGCCAGTGTTTCGTAGAAGTGTCTTTTTTCTTTGCGCACACTCTTCTTCACTTCCTTGTCCAGTCTAGTGTTTTATACATTGTGTTCAGTTCCTCTTGTCGTTGAGCATCCTTGCACTGCACTGGTTTATCTTCTGCTTCATCATCCTCCTCTCCCTCCTCTGTATCCGTCGGGATTCATTCCTTATCTTCTTTCTTTTTCCTTCCTAATACGACTGTGCAGGTTTCTTTCCACATCTCTTTCAAAGACTTCCAGTGTTCTTCCACACAGGTTTTTTCAGGGATGTTGCCTGATATCTGGCATTTTGTCTTGATGGCTGCCGTGAAGATGTGTTCTGTAGTTTCATCCTTCAGTTTCCGAGTGTTGTACTTGAACTGTGGTCTATCACCAGTTTCCTTGAAGGCTTTTAACTTGATTTGGAATGTTCCTTGCACTAGATAGTGAGTGGTGTGAACCTACATGTGCTCCTCTTCTTGACCTTGTGTCAAGTAGGTTGCGTCTCCACTTTCTGGAGATTGAGATAAAGTCGATCTGATTTTCACTGTAGTGTGTTCATCTGATGAAATCCATGTCATTGCAACAGTATAGGCCAGGGTTAACTGCTGATATGTGGCTGGCTATAGTGCATTACGCACGGGTTTTTTTCGGGGGGTGGTTTCCGCAAGTTATCAAAGGCAACTAAGGTCATCAGATTCAGTTTTGTATTCCTAAAGGAGGAGGCACCATCGAAAAATGTGGCATCTCAGACTGCAACTGAACAGTTCTTCTGCCTTGTGACCATCTTATCCACTTGTAGCAGGTTGTATATTTTCCTGAATAAGGGGACAATCGAACAATAAGCTTCTGGATCTGAATATAATATGGGTTGTTATATCAATTCACCAATGTTCAGGACGACTGTTGATGCAGAATTTGTGACACTTTTACTCGGCAGTGATACTGAGTTATTTTATCGGATCAGTTACTGGCTAATAACGGAGGTTCGTAGTTCAGTTTTTTGTGTGATCTTCGAAGAAGGTGACGCGATACCGTAGTGTACACAAATGGAGTTTAGAGATTCATAGTTTTCTAATAAGTAAAAACTTGCTTTCTCTGATCTGTTGATATGAAAAGCAAATTCGCTTTTTTTATGTACATACTTCTCATTTTCAAAGCCTGATTAACTGTAATTCGTATGTTCTCTATCATTTTACTGTTTCAAGATGAGATTATGTTTATAAAGACTTTTGTAGGTATCAGTTGGTTATCTCAATATCTTATCTTGGACGGAGCGATTCGTTTAAATTGTCACTTGCCAACATTTTTTAGATAGAGGTCCAGGTGACGGTTAATACTCGTATTTTATGTGTTTCAAAGTTATGTCAAGTTTATGTAAGGCATACTTGAATCACAAGTGTGTGATACATACTATGTTTAGTTTGCAAGTGATCAACCTCTTTAGAAACTACTAACTTTCTTACCAGAGTCTGTTTATGTATACCGAGAATTCACACGCTAAGTAGTATAGTTATGCCCATCTCTCGTTACCATTATTATTATTATCCTTTTTTATTCCTTTATTTCTAGGAGACATTATGCAAACACATGGGCAAACTTTATTCGACGTGACTAGTGGTCAATTGTTTCAACTACAACAGCAGCAGAATCCTCAACAACAACTGAATGATTCATCAGAACTGCTATTCACCTCTTCCTTATCATGTGCTAATAGTGTCAACAGTGGTACTGTTGGCAGTGTAAATATTTCTTCACCGGCTGTTTTATTTGTGCCAGCCACATATACAACAGCTGCGCATAATCGTATAGAGTTGAATACTGCTGGTGCTGCTCCCGCTTCTTCTGCTTCTTCTAATCTCATTACAGGCTCTTCTATTTCTGCTGCTCTGCCTTTAGATGAGAATATGATAGATATTTGTGAGTGATATATTGAGTTCTGAATGTCTTTTACACCACATTTATACAGTTAACTCTCTGTCTATCTCTTTCTTTCTGTGTATATCTTTGGCATTAAGTTGATGCTTCACTATAAAAATGTATTCCAGGCTAGTAATGTATCTATGTATATTCGCTGTAAAAGAGGAACTTCCACTATCAAACTGGACAATTCGGACCATCAAAATCACAAATGGCAATACCGTGGACGAGTATACTGCTCTATAGTTCACTCTGTCCTGTTATATGGCTGTGAGACATAGCCGTTATAAGTAGAAGGAGTTACAGGTTTTCATTCACAGGTGTCTTTTTACAGACAATTCACTTAATGTGGTTGTGAACGTCTATTGACTGAGATGGTTTGGATGTGTGTTGCGCATGGCGGGCCACCGTCTACCTTGATATCCCATGCTAAGGGAAGTTGGATCAGATTGGAATAGGATCCAGTGTGGTCAAACTAAGACGTGGCACCACTAATCGATTAAGTCCCGGACTTTTGGTCTGAGTCGTTTGGGAAGATGTAGACTGCCTAGCCGGTGTTCCCGAGACCATAGGGATCAGCGGTTGAGGACTTTTGATGAGATGGCTCAAAATCAGTCACAAATGTGAAGATGTATTCACTCTTTGATTTGTTTGATTATCAACCTTAATTTTAAATTCACCCTTCCTCACATATCCCTTTGTCTACTTTGATATCGGTCTTTCTTATCCATTTGTCCTTTGCATATTACGGTGAAGTGTGTCAACCAGAACCGATAGACTTGTGAGCGATGTTCCACGTTGATTTCGCCTGTCTGTCTATCTATCTGATAGTGAAGTCTATGAGGAACGTTTCATACCACTTAAAATTCGATAGATGAATTCACCTGCACTCATACTAGTCTTGTCTCCAATTAGACCGTCTTGTAAAATGTCAGAGAATTATCCACTAAACCAACTAGGCCATGATATACACTTTTTGTTCGAGTTGTTAGTAGAGTATAGAATTTCTCAAACAACACGAGCTTAAGGCAGGCACTCGACTCTCAAGAAGTCGAATAAAGAATTCAAATTCCACTAAATAATCTACTGACGTTTTTCCATTCACGTGGTATTATCACTAACATCAAATAGCCGTCAATCCCATATAGGTGTGGATAAGAGATTTTAGTGCACAGAATTGCACACGATCTTTGCGACATATAACCAGCTTCATCAGCAGAAAGAAAATGAAGGGTGAATGAAAATATATACCTAGTTGTAATGATCCACTGAATAAGACAGACAAACAAACAAAATCAGCGTGGAATCTTGCACACAGGTAGGTGAATCAGTTCAAGTTGACACAGTAGTAAACAAAGAACAGACGGATAGAAAAGACTGACATCAAAGTAGACAGAGTTATATGACGGAATAAACAGTGTAAATATAAAGGATAGATTGGGTATTCAAGTTCTAGAAGACATCAAAGAGTGAATACATCTGCGCCACTGTGATTGATTTTCAACGATGAGTCCTCAACCACTGGTTCATCTCGTATCAGGAACCCCCAACCAGGTAGTTTACATCTCCCCTACATGACTCAGACTAACAGTCAGAGACTTTGTCGACTGGTGGCATGTGTGTTGACCTGACAACTCTGGACGCTCTTTCAAACTAGTTTAGCTTCTGCTAGCACTGCACATCGAGGTAATCTGTGACTGGGCATGCACAGTAGCAGAAACCTTAGCTGACTTGCCTTCCTTGTCTAGTACTTTTCGCCTGAGCTCAAAACTGCTAACGTGGTGATCCCACTATATGCGAACAATGCCACGGAGACACATATGGTAAAAAAACCTGTAACTGCTTCACACCTACTTTTAATGGCTATGTCTTACAGCCGTATAACAGGAAAGAGCGGACTGCAGTGAAGTATACTCGTCTTTGATAAACAGATATATCTCGTCAGTCAGCGCTAGAGATGACACAAGTTGGCAAATGCCAAATGGGCTTTATCTATCTGAGCTGAGGTTTCGTCATTAACAAGCCTGTTCGGGCTAATCCAACTCTTCAAGTAAATGAAGTGGTTGATGTATTCCTCCACTTCATTCTCTATCGTTAAACTATGAGTATTTGCAGACCAGTCTTAGAGAATCATCTTATATTGGACAAATGGAAAACAGATGGCTCCACCTTAAACCACTATCAAGGTACCATCGCTTTTCTGCAACTTCTTCGATTGCAGTGTTGATCGAAGCAGGTTTCTTCAGTTTGAAAGATACACTTCATTGATGCGTAGTGACAAAGAGTTCTTCTCAATTATATCTAATCACTGAGCATTAGAATTGTCTGCCATCGGATTTGTACCTAATTTTTGAGTTCATAATACCTTAACATCTCGATCTCTGATTTCCGTAAAAGACGATTGTTGTAAGTGACTCCAAAGTCACAGATAAAAAGAATGAAACATTTTTCCTGCACACAAATGTTTTCCAGTGATTTTTCAGTAATGAAAGTATCCCAACTGCTTGTAACCAACCAACCGGCTTAAAAACTGTTATTTAATGCATTGGTAACTGTTGAAAGCTTACACATTACAGACTCTAACAGTTAACTCCTTCACTTGTGTCAACTCTTCCTTAAGATTATTGGATCATTAATACTTTTTAAGGAAAGTAGTATCTCAGTTGATTTTGTGTGGAGCTGTGACCCATTGGTTTAAAAAGATGACTATGAACCAATTGTGGGTCGTGGGTTCGAACTCCATTCCACTTTCCGAGGTTTGGACAACCAGGTAGGGTATTATTACTATTTGTCCTTTGAGTTCCTAGTGAGACATAGGTCTTCTGTAGCACGTCACCACTTCACTCTGATCTCTGCAATCTTTTCAACCTGGCTACACCACTGCCTACAAGCTTTCATTTCCTCTTCACACCATCTCCTCCATGTCACCATCAGCTGAGATGCTTAACTCTTCGTTTCCCATTTGGGTTCCACTCGAAGGCCCTTACACAATAGGTATGACTCATTGCCCACTGCACGGATGTCCGTACACAAAGTGACTGAGTGCGTTTTGTTGGTTTCATTTTGGGTTAGATTTCAAAATGGATTATCGACGAGGCAGCTGGTGTTGTCGATGATGATCCTTGAATGTTGTATATATAAAATATATAAAATACTCGACAAACTGTGTTTACCTTTGGCTTTATTTTTTCCTGCTCATTTTCTTTGTTTTATAGCACGTTTAGGTGGCATCGATAGCTTGATGCCTACGACTATGATCTCATCGAGTATATCACTTAAACAATCTTCCCCTGTAAATGTTTCATCACAGTGTCTACAGAGTAATTTGAAGCATGAAATTACCAATCAAAATGGTGATATAGTCTACAATCAATCTAATGATGATATACGCATAGATTTGCGTAAAACCGGTGGTGGTTCCGGTAGATCTGTTAAATTAGAACTACGAGAATTGTTGGATCTTGTGTTAGCTGCTTCTGCTCGTACACCGAATCCTTTAGTTCTTGCAGATAGTGGAAAGATTTACACCCACATCCTGGCACATCACAACGTCCTCCAGTTGGTTTGGTTACTCAGCTACTTTGGCGCGCACGTGCATTGGATGATCGTGGACCGTGGATTTTAACCTTTGCTATGTGGTGGTTGATGCAACATTATTTCGGTATTGGCAGTCGAATGCATCATGTACGTCTTCGTTGGGGGCATTTACGATTGGTTTCGGGTGTTGTTGATCCTCTCACTGGAGAGTTATGCGATGCGGTTGAATATGTTGGTCCATCAGCATTCACAACTGCCAAGGCATGTGCACTACTTGAATCTAATCCTTCTTCACAGGAATCACCTTTTCGTCGTGTTTATCCTTCTTCTGGATGGGGTGAGGCTGAGATTGCAGTCGCGGCTGCATTAGCTTCTGAACTTGGTATGAATCGTCCACGCGTTCGCCCTTTGGATACTGATCCGTCTGTACCTCCAGTTCCCGCTCGTTCAGGTCCTGATTTTGTATCATTGTATAAATCATTCGCTAGACATAGACAACAAGCTTCATTACTTCCAGATGCACCTTTTTATGTTCAACCTTTACAGGTTAGTTTTAGATGAATGTTAATCTTTGCTACAGTTTGTTTACTGGTTACTTCTATGACTCTTACAGTAACTTCGTCTTCATATTAATATCACTCGTCCCCAAACGATAGGTCACAAGCTTGAACCCTGTCACACCCACTGAGGTTTGAACAACCAGGTAATATTACTAACCGCCATAGGAAATAGGTGTGGCTCATTGTCTACTGCACGAATTCGGATATAAGGCTGCTGAGTGGATTTCAATTCCCTGTGTCAAACATCAGTTACGTTCATAGTATTCAATGTCACTGATCATTTGCTTTAGTGTTCTAGAATAAGAATCCACTTACATCCTTCTGTTGATTTTCTCTTTGCATATTGTTGTAATAAAATGTGACAACTCTAATTACAAATACTTTCCTGCTAAATGCTGCTCTATGTGAGCATAGTACACGAGTATGAAATTATTTGAGTAGTTAACTTCTTCTCCGGACTACGTAAAACTCCGACATATATTAGAGAATCATTCAAATTATCAGTTTAAAGATGGTTTTTAGCCAAACATGCCCTCCATATCCGAGCTGAGATTTATTCAGCAACCAGCTCGTTTGGGCTGATGCAACACCGCAAGCAAGTGAAGTGGTTAACGTATTCAGTCAATTCTACTCCCCATCCTTAAACTGGAGGTAGTTACAGCAGACCAGTCCTAAAGCATCATCTTACATTTGAGAGGTGCGAAAAGCTTGTCAAACACACTCAGTTTTCTGCCCATCGCGTTCAGAAGAGTCTGCATTTTTATCAGCGTCTCCTAGCAGGATAATATCGTCTGCATACTCCAAGTCAACCAGGTACCACCCCCTGTCCCTATCCTAGGGAGTAGATCAATCCCTGTGAAGTCAGAGGTACCTAAGGTTATGTCCATTAGTACATGGATGGTGAAGTTAAATAGGAACAGTGAGAGTGGACAACCCTGGCAGAAACAACCAGTTGTCTTCAATTCACATGACAACTATCCGTAGACCAACTCCTACACGACTGTGTCCGAGTCGAGAGCTTTGATAGGCACTGTATACTTGGTCGGTACTACCTGGTTCACAGCTACAACACCTCACAGTCGACAGAGTCGAATGCCACTTTCAGGTCGAGAAATACGACAATTGTGGACCACTTGCCAGTAAGTATGCCTGTGTTCCATAACCTGTGGGAGGGTGAAAATCTGATCTATGCACCCACCCTCTTTCAGGTCTACATGAAACCTGCCTGGTTTTCACGACTTTTTTGTTTTCGAGCTCCAATTAAGCATCGGATAAGTACAAACACAAGGATTTTGAACACGATGTTAATCAAACTGATTCCCCTATAGTTGTCACAAGAAGACTCTTCTCCTTTTTTATAGACTTGAATGAACAGTGAAGTCGACCAGTTTGAAGATGGTTTTCAGTGCAAATTAGTTTCTATTAAATTACAAATTCCTTTTTCAAAATTGTTTATTTTTGCTGTTGATATCGTTGTTCATTAGGAGTGAATGAATTTTTATTCAACGATGATCAACTCACTGTAACCTTGACATCTGCCGCCTAGCGGTTTATATTTCAATAAACAACCTTTCCTACCAGGAGACATTGCATAGTGGTTACATATGGGTGGAAGTTATATATAAAATGCTGTTATCCTTCTGCAGTATGCGTTATATGAATACCGCTTTAGCGCCTTGATTAATCTTTGTTCCTAGAAGTTGAAACTTGAACAGTGGGTTGAATTGAAATGCACCCACCAACTATGTTCACATCCATTCATTAGGCAATGAGACACACATATTGTGCAAGGGCCAATTATACTACCTGGGTGCTCACACCTCGGCTCGAACCCGTAACCAATTGGTTGAAAGTCGATTACTTAGATTATTGACTCACAGATCCAGTATCCATATTTCATAGTCGTTTGGTAGAACGTACATTGTGTATCTTCTCTACCCTCTCCTCGGGTACACGTATGCACACATGTCGGTATATTCGCAGGGATTTTTTTTGTCAGTGTTGTATTTTCGGTCTATTTTTGTGTTGTATTCCTGTTACTTTATTCTTATTCATTGTTTTTCTCCTTTTTTTCCATTAGAATTCAGCTTCTGCTCTCCAATCGAAAGCTGCTATTGCATGGTTCAGTATTGGTGCATTAGGCAAAAATCGAATTGGTGCATTAATGCGTAATATCGTTGATAAGGTTGTTCGACCAGATATGCCTCGTGTTGCAACAGCTGCATTGTCAGCAGCGACTACTGCATGTGTGATAGCAGCGGATAGAGCAGCACTGGCACTGACTGATTGTCACACCTCGAATACTTCAGATCTTAGTAATCGTCAACAATCATTAGTTGATAGATTATCATGTCTATTGGGTACCAATATGTCGAATACAATGAATATGAAAACTGATATATTGTCCAATGAATCACCTTCTAACAAAAACAATCATAGTATGAATATTAATTTAAGTAATGATGACAGTAGTGGAACGATAAATAAGACTAATACAGTGTTGCTTTCACGCTTAGAAAATCCTGAGACAAATGTACTTCTTTTGTCATCATCATCAACAGGTCAATTGCCATCAATGATGACAACACATTCAGATATTCGTAATGCAAGTCATTTAGTTTTAAAATGCCAAAACTAGTAACATCCCCCACTGTATCCTCTTGTAGTTTATCATCAATGAATAATATACCCTTATCCTCAATGATTGCTCCATTATCCTCATCATCATCATCGAGTAAATTGTCTCCATCAAGTTTTAGAAATCAAATAGTTTATGAAGCGTCATCATTTCAACAGCAACAACAACAACTTCCATTACAGTGTCAGTCATTGTTATTTACTCAGCCTTCACAACAACAGACTTTTATTCAAGAAAATGATCGAATGATTATCAATCCAACTAACCAATTGCCTACTAACAGTTTTGTCCTGTTGACTACTGTAGATGGACAGACATTTTTAGCTCCTAGTGGTGCCAACTTTAACAGCATTTATCCAACTGGAAATCAAGCAAATAGTTATATACTAATACCAAATCCAACATCTAGTATTAGTGGTTCTAATTCTACTAGTACTACTACTACTACCACTACTACTACTACTAGTAGTAGTAGTAGTAATGCTATTTCTGCTACTACTGCTACTGCTGTGACTACTAACAATAGTAATAATAATAGTAATAATCTAACTTTAAGACCAGAATATATGGATGCCTTATATTCTCAGTCACAGCATTCAGTTCAACAAAATCCATTTATACTATCTGGTTTAGGAAGTCAAGTGTTAAGAACACAGAATTTGGTAAGTTTTCATAAAATATTTCTCAATGTATACAGTGTATTGAAAGCACAAAAAAGAAAAAAAGAAAAGATGTGTACATGCTATACATTTTTAAAGGTTAACACCTTTAAATAAACAGTTTTAACCTTTAAGATATTGTAAACTAATTGATTGATTACTCAGTGTTGACAATTTTTGGATTTTCTAAAGTTTTCATAGATGAGCGTTAAAAGTATGAGAATTTTAATTCCTATTAAATGACATTGTCTAATAATCAGGCTGTATAATAATGAACTGATAAAAGTTGTAAATATTTATTATATAGTGATTCTCAAAACTCAAGTCGGGTTCGATCGCGTATATATATATATATATATATATATATATATATATATATATATATATATATATACTATTCAATGTTACAATGGTTTTTAATGATTATCTAGTCAATATGACTAAAACTAACTTGAAATGAATTCACTTGTTAAAACCTATCCAATCGAGTTATTTAAAGATAACAGGGAATACTTAAAGTATGAATCCTGATACAGTCTACTACAATCTAAAGATGTTACATATTGAAAAATAAGAGACTTGTAAATGGAATGAGAATGGAAAATAGATGAAAAGTAGCATTTCTGTATGGACTCTTTACATTTTCCTTTCAGGTTCTAGTACTCAAGTTTCACTTTGAAGATTTCATGATCTTTACATTGCTCCTACACAGAATAGTATGTTTGCAAATTTTCATTATTTCAAAGTTCCATCGTCTTAAAGTTAATAATCACTGACTTCTTGAAGTATAATAATGCTGAATTCACTGAAGTAAAGACTACTTTTATTACTATTTATTGATATACTTGAAATTCTTCGTTGTTTTATTGGATCGAATTGTTCGACCTATAATTGGCATATAGGCTCCTATGCGGATGCCTTGATATTGCCTGAATGTTAATTAAGCTAATTTGTTTGGTTGTGACTAGCAGGAGAATCCAGGATGCGCGTTTCATTCGATTTGGTACTTGCGTACTGGATTCTTCTGCTAGTCACAACCAAACAAATTATCTTAAAGACTACTTTAGTCTAGTAAAATGTGTATTCAAGTTAGTATGTACAGGTATACAATGACTTCTTGCATATCTTGACAAACCTCAGAAGATCTAGGCCTGAATTTTCACCAACTAACCGATAGGTTACCCAGTTTATAGGTTTGAGGGGATCACGTGAGTCCGATCCCTCATAGGGTTGTGGGTGCGTACTGTTGAGGAACCTCACACTAGAAGAAGACAGCTGTTTAATAGTCTTAGTTTTCTTTTTTTTTCTACAACTGATATCAGTTTGTGATGAATACCAAGTTAAAATCTAACAGTTATCCTTCTCAATAGCTCATTATTATTGAACTCTTTATCTTGGCACATTTTTATTTGAAACTGAGCCCACACTTAAGTCGACAGTTTAGCCTTAGTTCATTTAGTTACGATTGGCATTTCTGTTTACACTTATTGTCTTACGTTTCTTTGTTTTCCAAAGAAACATATACATATATGTGTTGTTTTGATATTTTATTTTATTTTGAAAAAGGTGTCATCTCATCAGCTGGCAACCACATCAATAGCAACAAGCAGGTCATCAGTCACACCTCGAGCATTTCATCAACCAATTGCATATCATCTCACTTCAAATCCGAGTAGTAATAACTCAATCCCAGTAAATCTAATTCTTTTGTCTACCTCCAATTCATCACCGTCTACTTTCACCCCTTCACCAATCTTATTGAACGCAACACCAACACCGACGCTAACAACACCAACAACAACAACAACAGCCCTACAAGCTCAATCACAATCATCTAACTTAGCAACAGTTTATCAAACTGAAAATCGATGTGATTTCGACTTCAGCCAATGTTCAACTAGAGATACTAATCTGATTGATTCATTTCAGCCGATAATTATTCAAAGGAATGATTCAAATATGACTACACTTCTTGTGAATACAAACAATGATGGTGGTACACCTGTTCATCGAGCAATTACTCTCATGAATTCAGCTAATCCAACAAGTGTTAACAATAGTTGTAACATGACACCAGTAACTCTAACCTTGACAACACCGAAAACAACAATACCAACGACGGGGACAACAATAACATTACCTGCTTGTAATCAGATATTTTATGGACGAAACTCTTTACAGCATCAGCAACAACAACAACAACACTCTCAACTACCTGTGTTGTTTGATACTTCTGACATGGATCAGAAACTTACAGCCTCTACTACTGCTGCCACTGCTGCGGCTCTATTTCAAGTTAGTCCATTGAAACCAACTTATCAATCACAAAATAGTATCGTTCAAGCTCTCTCATGTGGACAGTTGGTTGCTATTGCTCAACCTGGTGTTGGTAATAGTAATATACAACCTCAGTTATCGACAGTAATTGAAAGGAAACAAGAATCTTCTACACTTCCGAATCAAATGCAACAACAGATTCAACAAAGACTGCAACAACAACATCAAGTAAGTCATGGATTTTTGATGATAAACACACCTACCTTCTCGTGTGATCTTTTTGAGTTTTATCCCATTGTCATACATTTTCTTAAAAGATGTCATGAAAACGCATCAACAAAATTAACTCTAAGTAGGTAGAACAAGATTAAAGTTCTAGTATAGATTGGTCGTTTAGATTTTGAACACTTTAATAGATCCTTCTTTATCTGTTATCGCTCATCTCATATGCCTATCTGTTCCTTTTCTTTTTGGATGGTGCTGTTAACAAGTGTGTGTGTCATGTTAGTCTGATTTTGACTGTTGTACTCTTAACATGGATACATAGAGACGACTACACTGTCTTAGACGATACAACTATGGAATATTAGGACTTAATTTGATAAACTTTAATTTCTTTAGAATATCATTGGCATGTGATGAAACCAACTAGTTAGTTAGCAGTACGCTTGCTCAGTCACCATCTACTCTGATGTGCCATAGCTTAGGTTGAATTAGGTTTCAAGGTGGCCAGACGAAAATGTAGCACCAGTCGAGGAAGTCCCTGATTGTTGGTCTCAGGTGTATGGAGAGATGTTGAATATATGACTGAGGTATCCGATACGATAGGAATCAGGGGTTCAGAACTGTTGATGATGTGAATGAGAATCGGTCACAATGTCGCTATGAAGTGTGGCAACTTGAAGTGATACACTTGTATGCGAAGTTCCAATTTGGTTCTGTCTGTCTGTCACTGAGACACAAACCTAGTACTTATCGCTTTAAACATCAAAACGTTATCCACTAGGCCATTGGGGCATGAGAGTAGTTCGATCCAGTATGTCAGCAGGAAATTAATTTTTTCAATAAATAAGAACTGATACGCATTGTAAAAGGGATTGCTCTCCCTCCTCACTGGCCTAGTGGATAATGCTTTAGCGTTTGGAGCGATGGGAGTCCCAGTGGGAACACCATCAGTCACCGGAGTGCAGGCACACGCAGCTGACGAGTCGAAAATAGGATGAAACATGCATTGTGGACTTCACTGTTAGCCACCAGTTAACCACAACATATTGAAGCACTGTTATGATATCTACATAGGAGCCTATCTACCAATCATCATCATCATCATTATCAACATAGGACCAGGCATTACTGCGTAACGGTCCGAGTTGCCACACCTCATATCAGCACATCAAGTAAAAAGGTAGTGAGGTGAAGGATGAAGATAAGTGAATGCAGTCAAAAGAAATATAAAGTATGAGAAGAAAGGAAAGAGGAGTGACAAAATAGTGAGATTCGGTATAGCGTTGTTAAGATGAGGATAATGTGTGTATACATCTGCGCCACTGACTTCGGTTCTGAGCCATATCACCTAGGGTCTCCAACCACTGGTTCCTCTTGTCCCGTGGACCCCAACCACCTAGTCTGCATCGTCCTACATGGCTTAAACCAACAGTCAGAGACTTCATACATTGGTGCCATGTTTTAGTCTGGCCACCTCGGGCCTTTTTCCAGCCTGAACCCACCTCAGCCAACATTGTGTGACGAGGCAATCGGTGACTAGGCATACGTAGTACGTGTCCCAACCATCTCAGTCGATGAAGGTTCACAACCTCGTCGACTGACTTACCTCTTCTCCCTAAAACTCTACACCTAACTTCTGCATTACTCACATGGTGACACCACGGAATACGTCCTATACTACGAAGGCAACGGTGGTCAAATACCTGTAACCTTCTCATGTCTTCCACTTTCAATGGCCATGTTTCACAGCCATACAGTAGAACAGAGCGGACTGCTGTGCAGTACACGCGACCCTTAATAGACAAACGAATATCACGGCGGCGCCATAGGTGGCGCAAATTGGCAAAAGCCAATCGAGCCTTTTGTATCCGTGCAGAAATCTCATCGGCAACTAACCCACCGGAGTTGATCCTACTTCCCAGGTAAGTGAAGTGGTCAACACACTCAACCACTTCACTCTCTATTGTTAACCGCGGTACCGCTGAAGACCAGTCCTGGAGCAAAAATTTGCATTTGGGTGGTGAAAATCGCATCCCAAACATTCTCAAATTCCCACTCAAAGTGTTCAGAAGACTCTGCATCTTGTCAGCGTCTTCACCTAACAGGACTATGTCATCTGCATATTCTAGATCTAAGGAAAATTCACCTGTGGTCCGGTCAACGTCTTTGTAATTAGGTGACGAGAGGGAAACCTCCATAAGAATATCTATGATAAAATTAAATAAGAATGGGGATAGTGGGCATCCTTGACGGACACCACTTGATGAGTATAGCTCCCTGGACAACTCACCATAGGCTCTAACATGCCCACAAGTGTTCGAGTAGAGAGCTTTCAATAAGGTGATGTACTTACTAGGCACGCCTTTCAGTGACAGACACTGCCATAAGACTTCTCGATCTACCAATAGAGATCAAGCAATTCTATCCAGTATGTCAACGGGAGATTACAAATATCAACCAATACATAGGTAGTGTAGTTGTTTAGGGTCTTCCCACTATGGAGAATTCATAACCATAACCCTAAATAAGTTAGGTTTAAGGTTTAAAGAGATAAATAATTCAGTCAGGCCTAATGTAATGTATGTGAAAAGCTTTGACCTGTTTAAATATCATCAATGTTTAAACCTTTATCAAATGTATTACGCTTACTGATCAATCGTCTGGACCAGTGTACAATATTATCTGAAATAGTCTAAGTTTGACAAGAAGTTAAAAGTGAAAACTTGAAAGTGACACTAATCCATGAAGTCATCGATTATTGACCTGAATTGTGCAGGGGAAATGTTGGCTTACATGTTGAGGCTAATGAAACAACCAAAATCAATAGTTCGAGACTAGGTGATACGGTTTAGAATCGATCAAAAATAATAATATCATATAGCTTGTTGCGTGTATTTAGTATTGATTCGATAGACAACAAAGAATCGGTTACCGACCTCTCCCTTAACTCTACTATATTCATTTTAAGGATTTTCACCCTGTCCAATCTTACTATGTGGTTGTGTGTAATTACACGTATAGCTGTAACCGAGTTTTTTTTATAGATTCCTAATCTTGCTAGGATCTTCCAATTTCGATTTGGCTGGGTTTTCGTGCTCAATTAGGCTAACTGACCTTAGTCGACTTCTTTAACCTATATATTTGACCTCGCAATCATTAACAAGGGATTTGTTAAGCCAAATTATTCTGCCTAACTGAATCAGTAGAATCTTCTAACCTAAAAAGCTTATTTCTAAGTGAGTTTGTCGGTTTTAATACCACTCCAATCCCAGCCAGATTTGTTGAGAAATTTTCGTAACACTTCAGTGGTGCTTTCTCTATATGCTAACACAGTAAAAGTTTTGAATTCTTCCATCCTGTCAGCATTATTAATTGCCGTTATCATCATTATTACTGATAGTAATAGTAGGACCCCTTCTTAACACCTTTCTTACTACTACTATCCATATTTTTTCTTGCAAATCCCTATGAATTTATTGATAATTTTAGGTAGGTAATTACAGAGGAAAGCTTAACTGCAGCTATTCATGTGACATTATCAAAAACTAACCTAGTTGAGTGGTGGGAGAGATTGATAACTGAATCTTTGTTTATCGAATTAACACGAAATAAAATGCAACAGGAATGATTCTCCACCTATTCCAGATACTTGAAAAATTCTGCTAAACTTATCACTAAGACGGAGAGAGAATAAGACGTGTATATAAACCATATGGAGTTATCTTGTTGTGACTATGAACAGTACATTATGTTCAAAGCGTACTGCATTAAATAATACTGTTCCACTGTGTGTGCATGTGTGTGTGTGTGACACATCTAATGGAACTGTAATCTCCGAGATTGCCCAAGTTCTACTTCCATATTAATGCGTACATTTTTCTTGCGAATTCCTATGAATTTATTAATGATGAAATTGCAGTGCGTCTTCTTGGCAGCAAATATTATTTAAAATAAATGAGTAAATATTGAAAGTATTTAGACATTAAATAAATCATCGTCTATGGTGTTGATGGGTAATCTTTAGTTTTTTTTTGTTTTAACCGGCTGGTCGTTGACATTCACCATTCACATCAGCGTCTTTATGCTGATGAACAGCTGCACAATGTGAGTCTCTACTTCAGTTATCTATGGATAGATAAGTTTTAGCGTCTCCCCCCCCTCCCTGAATAAATAAACTAGTTCTTTGAACAGTTTTCACAATCTAGCGTGTTATCTTATTTATTTGATTATCAATACTTACTCATAAGTAAGGCAATTGTTCAGATTAATTCACTTAAGACTGGTCATTAAGTTTTAGGTAATCATAAGACAGACAGCCTCTTATAGTTGTCAATGAAGCATGCAGAGTTTAAGTTCGCTGAAGTAGATCAAACTTTTCTCAAGATCTTTTAAGGTTGTAAAAGGCTTCCAAAAGATTATTTGCATTAATCGCTTAGAAGTAGTTAGAATACATCGGGGTTTTCATTTATCAATGAATATCTGATAGTTGAGTGTTTCAGATAGGCTTGAGTTTCACTGAACCCGATTTACTGTTGTTAGTCTGACTTATGTACGAAGATGAAATCTATCTGTCATGATGAATAGTATTTCAAGGAAGTAATACATCAAATGAATATTGAACATTTTCACCACTTGCATATATCGCCTCTTTCAAACGTTTCCCCCTTCCCTCTTTCTCTCTCTCTACATATTTTTAGCTTATCAATTCATCTGATTTGATTAATGATCAATCGACAATCACTTTTCTTCCGTTCAGTAACAATCATTTAACCAACAACAGTATCACTACTACTACGACTACTGCTAATAGTAGTAATATCAACGGTAACAGTAGTAATAATCATAAACCGGATCTCTATTTTGAATTACCCATTGGTGATGGAGATCAACATGGCACCACTGGTCAAACAATCTATCGTCTATTCTGCACTGATAATTCTGATCGTACGATAATTACAAATGGAACAGTATCTAGTGATAACGAGATCAGTCGTCTTTTTGTTGTCAATAATGATCATAGGCTATCAGATACAATGATGAATATACTTACAGTAGATAATTCATCTTATCCATCGACATTATCATCAACAACAAGAACAATGACCACTGGTGCTGCTGCTGATCATCAATTTATTATTGATCAGTTTCCAAGTATAGTTAATCAACATCAACATCAATTGAATGGTTATGCCTCGTTGTCAATACCTACAGCCTCGTGTATAACACTTTCACCACCATCATCATCTTCAGTGTTGTCAACATTTTCATTGGCATCATCGTCACCATCAGTAGCGGTAACAGCAGCAGCAGCAACAACAATAACAACAACAACAACACTAGCTCCATCGTCTCCTAGATTATCATCAGCATCTTCATTATTTGCGTCAAATATACACCAGACATCAAAGAATTCATTGATTACTACATCGAGTCTAGTGAATAAAGTGAAGCGAAGTAATCAGCTTAGCGAAATTCATGTTGATATCGGTAATAGGACTACAACTAATGGCAACAGTATAAGTAGTGACGGGGGTGATACTGATGGCGTTAACAATAGTAGTCATCACTTAAATGCAGGATATCACATCAAAATTGATGAAAGTCAATATGCTTCGCCTTCTTTAATGACAACAACAAAACTAGAAAATTATATGGATAATAATAATAATAATGATAACGATGACTGCAACAACATAAGTAATAATGATAATGATAGTAATAGTAATAGCAAACATCATTCAAATAATTCCCTATCAGTACTTCCTCCTCTGTCAAGTATGACATGTCATTTGATCCCAATGGAACCGAAACCTGATCAGTTGAAAACTTTACAGTCGGTGAGTGTGTGTTTTCTGTTTCTTTTTAGACTTCTTGTCTTTTTTTTTTACAAAAAGGGAAATATTACGTCTGATCATGAAAAAGTTGATAGATAATCTGAACATCATACCAAGATTCGAACTGATAACCTATAGACTAGTTGTATTTTAAAAACTACTTTCATCATTGTATGATGCTTTCTGGTGTGTCCATTGAGTGAACTTGCAGTATAACTTTAGGGTTGATTAAATACGACTGGTTAGACCCATCAGTGATGGAATTGTGGTACTAGCTAATGGATCCTACAATATGCAAGTTAAGTAAATGTATGTTTATTGGTACCTGTCATTTCCCGTTACTATACCGGATAAAGTTGATCAACCTCTGTTGATAGATGCGCTCCTATGCAGACACCTGGATACTGCCAAATGTTCATGATTATATATTTATCTTGGTGATAAGCAGTGGAATCTAGGATGCGCGTCTCCTTCTATATGGGACTCGTCAGCTGGATGTACCTGCACTTCAGTGAGTGTTATTCTCACTTTTCACTCAAACCCAGTACCCATCGCTTCAAACGCCGAGGCGTTATCCACTAGGCCAATGGGACAAGAGAACCACCTCTTATGTAACAGTGGTTATGGATTATTACTCACAATTCCCCATTGTTTACTCATTGGGATACCGGTACGTCCAGCTGACGAGTCCCAAATTAGATGAAACGCACATCCTAGATTCCACTGCTATCTCATGCATCATTTCAAAACTAACTACAACTTTCTGCCCTCATCTGCCCCCCTTCTTTTTGATTAGATTAAACATCATTGATATTTTAATGTTATTTGGTGGATTAGGATGTTCTAGGTTAAACGAAAGTTAGTTTTCTTCTGTTGTTATCCAAATAGCAATTTCTGAGTCGTTGACACACATCTGACGGTGTGACATATTGGCCTAGATTTCAAGTTCGTAAGCAGCTTAACATTTTTCAAACTGAACAAACCTGATAGTAGCATAATCCCTCGCACACTGAATCTGAAGTATAACTTAGTACATAAATCTGTGCTGTGTCGGTGATCTGTATCACATTTGCTGATGTTTAATTGTTTACTGGTCAGGCTACAGAATTCAGCTATTAACTCACTCTCCTATTTTTCACTTCAATCACTCAGTCAGCGTCAGAATGAGATGCTGAGATGTGAAGAACTAAAAAGGTAGGTAAGACAATTAATGACGTGTGATATGATGATTAAGAGAACAGCATAGTTTTGAGATGCATCTGCACCACTGATGTCAATTTTGAGCCAATATCATAATACAATCTCCGGTCACCAATGAAATGATTCGGTTTACTTAGAATTCAGTACATGGGAGGCCACATGTTCCAGTTAATGATTTATTTTTAGCACTTTATTGGTAGAAAACAAAAAAAAGACGATAACAAGCCCTGAAGTGTTGCTTTTTATTGATAATTTTATTCTATATTGGTGCGATAAAGATCTAACTGGCACACAACTTGCTTGCCAATTTACCAAGGCCAGTCAATCTAGTAAAAAAGAGCAATAGAAGACTGGTTTCCACTGATAAGACAAGGAATATTGGCTATTGCTGCATATGAGCATATAATTTTTCACCTTGGGGAGTTGCATCAACTCGAACGGGACGGTTGCTGACGAAATTTTAGCTCGGATACAAAAAGTCCGTTTGGCATTTAGCAACTTGCGTCGTCTATGGCATCAACTGGCGAGTTATCTCACTACCTATATCAAAGGACACGAGTATTCTGCGCTCCAGTTTGCTCTGTCCTTTTGTACGACTGTGAGATATGGTCGTTAAAGGTAGAAGATATGAAGCCACTACAGGGTTTTGACCAGAGATGTCCTTATAGTGTTGTTAGCGTTTAGTGGAGTGACTGTGTGAGCGATGTTGAGATCAGGCGAACGGTACTAGGCAAGATAGGCAAGTTGATGGATGAAGTCGTGAAATTTAATCGACTGAGATCGCTTAGACATGTACTGCGTAAGCCGAGCCACAGCCTATCTCGGTGTGTCATAATAGGGGGAGTTGGATTATGTTAGAAGAGGGCACAGGATGGCCAGAGTAAGAAGTGGCACCAGTCAATGAAGTCTTTTACTGTTAGTGTGAGTTGTATGCACAGATGTAGACTGACTCGTTGGTGTCCTGGAGACGAGAGGAACCAGTAGTCGAGAATTGTTGGTGACGTGTTGCTGAAAATTGTTCACATTGGCGCAGATCTTGATGTCTTCCAAAGCTTGAATATCTGCACTGACCGTTATGTTCAGATTGTTTATTCTGTCACAGTACTTTGTCTACTTTGGATATCCATGTATCTTTTTCTCCACCTGTTCTTTGGGTACTACTGTGAAGTGTGACAATGTGAGCCAATGCACTCCTGTAAGACGTTCTGCATTGATTTTGTCAATTTTTATCAATTTCGTATAAATAAACGCTAAAAATATGTTTATCACGGCATGAATCCCAAAACAACCAAAAGATGAGTAATAATTTCTACAGTGATTCTGTGAGAATTCTTAAGATCAAGTGGATATAAGAATTACCATTACTATTGGTATTCATGTAGATCAATTAAGAGGCCTAAATTGGTTTAAAGAACTTAGACTAAAAATCACTGCCTGCACTAATTTACCTACGTATCTTCATTCCTCAGTTTGATGATCTGAGGTAGCCGTGATTTGGCGGACATTCATTATTGATACTGGGTGATGATTGAAGGTGAAATGAAAATCTGAGAAGTTCTGACTTGGTAGCCACTGTGGATACAATTAAGCGATAGTAACGCGCCACGAATTCACGTGGCAGCCGGGTCTCGTAGCTCAGCTTGTAGATCACCTCACCGAAAACCTGGTGGTGGTAACTGGTTGGAATCCTCCCGCGACCAAGATTTCCATTTCACCATCAATCGTCACCCAGTATCAGCATCTTCATTCATCTTTTCCAAATCCTATGATATCAAAGTTTGATCCAAACTGCTTACGAGGAAGGAAGGTAATAAATGCGAACTGGTGAGCATTTTCAACATAGACTGAAACGCCTATCTGGCAACCTGTAATGAGATATCCTGAGTCTTATTTAAATTAGATTAATATTCCATTCGGTTTTGCTCAGTTGGTAGAGTATCGGACCGGGAACCCGCTAGTTGCTGGTTCGAATCTGGCCGCGATCCAAATTTTCATTTCATCTTTAACCATCACCCAGTATACTTTGTTTATTTATTCACTGTTTATTTGTTTCTTCTTTTATTTCTCTTTCTCTACTGATACAGGTGATTAATTCTGCGAGTGCATTCCAGTGTTCCGATTTTCCAGCTTATGTTGAACAATTATTTCGTAAGGGTATACTTAGTGGTCGACGACCATGGTGTTTAAATTTCACTGCATGGTTTATAAATACTTTAGTCTTTGAAGTAGAAAATCGTACAGAACATGTCAGTTTACGTTGGGGTGATTTTCGTCTATGTCAAACAGCTGATGGACAAACAGAATATATTTATTTCATTAATCGGATAACAAATAAACATTATTATCTAGCTGGTTCACCATCATCATGTTGTGCACTTGGCTATAAAAAAAGTGAATTCGATGCTAAATCATCGAATGAACCACCAGTTCGATGTCCATGTCCTGTAGCTATATTCAAAGAGTTAAGAGATCGACGACCAAGTGGATGTTTAGATGCATATTCAAAGTTTTATTTACAAGTATGTTCATTGTTTTTTTAAATTTAATCTACTTGAATAATTAAATAATTCATTCAAATAGTGTGAAGTCAGGAATTCATCAGTTAATAATGATCCAGCAGTTGGAAGAGACTAAGATGCTACAGAAGTATGATAGTGGTTGACAATTCCAGGTTACTTGCATCGTGGAAGGTTACTTCATGGTGTGCCTAAAACATAAATTGTATTAATAATAGTGTTGGTGCATGAACTCACAGCTCAACGGACATCTGCTTAAGGTTGGTCATATACGGCCTTTTTACGAGTTTCGTACTAAGATTTCATTTCACTACACCCTAACAAGAAAAACATAAACAGCTGGCACCAGAAGACCACAGAGTGAAAGAGGGGGTGTGCTATTTTTAAGGACAACCTTTTCAATACCCTAGTTTCGATATGAGAAGGCAGAATCTGTATAGAATGGTGGTCATCCACTGAGAATACCTTACTATTGTCACATCATGTCCAGCTAGCAGCAGCATGACTTCACCTTTGGGTCTCCGCTATAGTGAAGGCTACTTATAGTATGACGGTAACTGGTTTTTGTTTTAACACTGTCTAACAGGTGTCTCTGATATCGTTGGACCTCATGACTTATCAGGTCATTGTGATAGATTAACCCGACTACCATGTGTCAAGGTAACAACTATCGATTAGGGGCACTCAATCAGTCTTTTGATCTCCATGTAGTGCATGGAATGCACTTTCTGTGCATATATGTTACCAGATTTTAATGATAGAAGTTGACCAGTTATTTGTGCTTTGTTATACCTGGTTGTTTAGTCTACTGGATTGTTTTGTCTCTTCTCGGTAATATGAACACACTAATCGAATGTTTCAATATTGCTTTGGATTTCCTTCTTATGTCGTTTGATTTGTGGTGGTTAGCAGTGCAGTTGAAGACACGTCCGTTTCATCCTGTCTATAAGTCATCAGTGGGATCTATCTGTATCTCAGTGAAAGTGAAACCTAGCACCAGTACTCATTACATCAAACATCAATGGGATATCCACCTTAATGATGAGTCATGTATAGTGTCTGTTGTGCAATGGGTGGTATCAGGTGTCATTCATTTAATTATGTGTATAATTTACCATTGTTTATTTGGGTAGACCAGATAGTGGATTAACCCTTGTTGGTGTATGTGAAGGGAGAACTAACAAATAAAGTTGATATTCACCATGGAATAACATCAGTTAGAGAAGCATTGGAAACCTGGGAGCACTGGAAAGCTACTTCTTCTTAGTATGGGACTCCTCAGCAGTACGCACCCACGATCCCGTCTGGGATGGAACCTAGGACTTTCGGGGGGTGGACTAACAGAAGGAGAAAATGTAGACCATTAAATGATGACTCAATGACTCGACGGTAACGTACTGGCCGTGGAATCTGAAGGTCCTACGTTCGAGCCCTGGCAGGGTTATGAATGCACACTGCTGAGGGGTCCTACCCAAGAACAAAACAGCTGTCCAATGCCCCCAGGTTTCCTTCCAATGGTTCTGCAACTGATGTCAGTCAGTCATTGATGAATATCAACCTGAAATCAATCAATAAATCCCCACAAACCTCACCTCCTAATTAAACAGTAAAGTGTCATTGAAAGACGTAAACTAACCTAGTAACAATCGACATGCAGTGTGTCTCAAGCTATACCAATAGAGATTTATTTGGCTGAGTATAACCACTGATTATAGCCTCAGTTCATGCAGTAAACTAAAGACATTCTCAGTAGTGTGAATACGTTCAAGTTTTTTGTAATATCCAGTAGACCTCAAGTTTTTCTTCTGCTTCATTTCTGTTTTCAACTGCTGAGATGTATATAGGTTTCAAAATTTCACTACTTCTTACCAAAATCGAGGCAGTTGCATAGTAATGAAGAGAGACCCAATGGAGCAACGGAGGTTATCTACGGGAAAACTACAATCATTAGTGATAGAAATTTTAAACTATACGATAAAGTTACATTTGGAAATATTCTCCTTGTTCAGCATCTCGGTGTGGAGTGTTGTTGCCCCTCTCACTCTCGCTTACCTATTCGATATCATATTGTGTATTGTATACTTCAGAATCTTCATTTCTTGTATCTATGTTCCGTTACATGCTACTGATTGATATGCATCGCTGTAAGTAGTGTTCACTACAGTACTGATAACTTTCAAGCAATGAAAGTGTGTAGGTCATAGCTTTGTGAATTACATATCATAGTATTTTCCACTTTCATAGTTGTAACTCTCTCAGTGTAGATAATTCAGCCTCGAATCACTGGGTTGCAGTTTTAAAATGCTTTACAATTGAATCTTCTTTCATCAACCAAACAAGTAGTGTGCTTATTCTTGACTTACGTAATATAATATATACATACTGTATAAAACCAACACAGTTCAACTCGGCTCATGTTTATACCAGTTTTTAGAAATGCAAGATGGAAGAAATTGAAACTTACTCAGCAATCTTGTGTACACATTCATGTAGTAGACAATGAGCTACACAAATGTTGTGTGATAGGCTAATTCTACTATACGGCTACTCAAACTACGTGTAAATGGAGCGGTTTTCTAACTCATGACCCCGTTGGTTGAAAGTCAGCTGCCTAAACCAATCAGCCACAATTCCAGCCTATTTCTCAGCAACTTTTCTCCACAATTCAGTATTATATACATTGCTACGGTATACCACAATTTCACGGCATGTTCTCCTCGAATATCTTTATAATCCATCTATCTCTTGGTGATGAAATTCAATTGAAAACAAGGAGAGCGATTATAGGGTAATATAGGCATTCATAAATGGAAAGTTACAATTACTTCAGATATTCATCGAAATACTTCATAGTGAGATTCAAACAAGTCCATTATATTCGTAAAGCTATAATAAGGAATAACTAGATGATAATAATAATTTTCAGTGATCAGAAAGAAGCTTTATGTGTTCTTATGTTTTAATCTTTCTGCCAATCATTATCAAATGATGTACATACAACCACTGAAAAATCCATATTCAGTTAGTAGTTTTTACGGATTGATTGACTTTGAAAGTGATTTTTGTTGGTGATTGATAGAAGAAGCATTGAATTCTATTTCCAGTCAGATGTTTGTCGTGAGATCTAATGGCGTACTGCTGATGAATCTCAGATTGGGACGAGACAACTGTTCAGTGCTTCCAAGTCATATCAGCACTCCCCAAAATGGATGTTAATCTGCACTGAAAAAGAAACTATTTTTAAATGCATGTGGTAGTAAAATTTGTTGGTAATGAACTTCACAGTGTGTCATGCTTAGTATATATATAATATATATATATATATATATATATATATATATATATATATATATATATATATATATATATATATATATAATTGATTATTATATTATTGTTAGTCCCTTGGGTTCCTAGTGGAACATAAGGCTTCAGTAGCACGTCTCCAGTAAACTCTGTTCTCTGAGATCTTTTGAACCTGGTCCCGTGACAGTCCAGAAGCTCTCATTTCCTCCTCACACGACCTCCTCCATGTCACCCTCTGTTCAGACTCCCAACTCGTCGTTTCCCATGGGGATTCCACTCAAGGGCCTGGCCTGACGCGTGATGTCCCCAGTCGGCCTTCTCAGTGCATGGCCAATCCATCTCCATTTCCTCTTGCATATTTGTTGGGTGATAGGTTCTTGGTTAGTTCGTTCCCAGAGCTCCTTGTTGCTTATTCTTTCTGGCCATCTGATCTTCAGTAGCGAGCCAGCGTAGGTGGCAGTTGTTGATGAATATCTGTAGTTTATTGGGAATGCCTTTCGTAACGCGTCGCCAAGTCTCTGTAGCATACAGAAGCACTGACTTGACGTTGGTGTTGGTGTGGGATTATATATATATATATATATATATATATGAATTCATTTTACTATCTATCATCAATCATTAACAATTTTTTAATGATTTTCTTTCACTGGTTTCTATCCTGGGTATTAAATTAAAATAGCCTCGTAATGTTGAATGTCCTGAAGCGAATGATATTGAAGAGATACACGATAAAGTACAAAAACCTCATCTACTTCCAGCTAGCAGTAATTGGTTTACAGTTCATGCATGGGGTAAAAATAAACTTGGTGGTCTATTTGCTGAAGCATCAAAACTTGCTGGTCTACCAACTATATGGTTACGTAAACATCGTTCAAGAAATTTTTTTCCCGGTGGTGGAGGTTCTGGTATTGGTGCACTTGGTAATCTTCATCATAATCAATATCTTCAGAAAAGTATAAATAATTTGCATAGAATCAATTCACGAACAAATGATAATGATGATATAGAACATGGTGAGATTACAAGTAAAGAGAATCAAGAATTGACTGGACATACAGAAGTGAAACGTAGACGAATAATGAATTGTGTTACAGATACCTCTAGTGTCTTGTCATTATCATTGACTATGCCAATGGTAGCGATGTCAGCAACACCACCTACAACATTAATGAATAACAATCAGAGTGTAAGAGAATGTACAGTTTTTCATCTATGCTAATTTTTTGTTCCTATCCAATAGAGTTTAGTTAAGTTGATTAAGCTTGTATACTTGTATTTAAGTAATTGTCTATAACTTATATCAGTATTGGTTGAATTAGTTATAAGATATGACTGAAAAAACTTCCTTTATTGAAATTACCAAGGTTTTTTGAATTGAATTCTACGTTTGATATGCATAGAAAATCTGTTTAACTGCTTATATTGTGAATAGGATCCAAGAATTTCAATTTTTCAATTTCAAGGGTTAGTTAGGATTTTTATTTGTTGTTTTCAGGTTGGTATTTTATCATGAAACAATAGAAACGTAGGAGCATTGGACAGCTGGCCCAACCCATTATGGGACTGTTTAGCAGTGCTCACCCATGACCCCGCCCCACCTGAGGTCGAACCCAAGACTCTCAGGCTTCGATGCCATCTCTGAACCACTAGGTCGGAATCCAATGGCCCATACTTCCTGCTTCTGTCAGTTCACGATATACTGCAACTTCCATCCAATGGCATCGTTGAGTATTTGACCTTATATCCCACTTATTTGGCCCCACTGGTCACGACTTCTCATTAGCACTTCGTGAATCACCTCTCGAAGCGAATCATCAATGAGCACTAGGGTTATTCTATTTCGAAGTTCCTTGTGGGGGATTTCTATTCACTGACTACTTCATTGTGGTATTTATCATGGAGTGACATCAGCAAGGATGTTGTAAATCTTTTACAAACATACATGTTGGTTATATTGACGGATTTATTAGCTTTAAAAATGTTTAGGGTAGAAAAAATGACTTATGATGTGAAAAACAACCATCTAGTTTGTCTGAGTATCCACCTTCACAGAGGATCGAAATGTGATGAGTAACCACATGCATATTCGTCCAGTAGACAATGGAGCTACACCTATTTCATAAGGTCTTATGATACTACCTGGTCGTCCAGGGGTCGGTAGGTGGGGCAGGATTCCAACCGAGAAGCATCATTTAGAAGGAGAGTGTTTCAACCAATGAAGCATATTGCTGAGATACTAGTGTACTGCATAGTTTTATGCTATGCTAAATATATACTGAGCACTCTAGGATACACACTCGTACAACAAACAATTCATCAACAAGTTAAACTGAAACATACTGATGACGGAATATGATAGAGGAAAAAGATGGAGCAAGCAAAATGGTGGATATATTTCTGAGAGTATTGACAAGGTGTTTCGTCCTAGTATTAGACTCCTCAGCAGTGCGCGCTTATGACCGCGTTAGGGATCAATATACTTTGATTGACTTTTGTAAACACTGGCGAGTTTTTTTAAAGCTCTTGACGATTCCTAGCTAAAAGGATATTCTGCTCAGCGTTTACACTCATTTACTAGATGACTAGCAATGATTCTTCTTTATAACACAAAGCACATACTCAATCACAACACTTTAAACGTTTTTATACCATCGCATTGAATCTGACTAAGTCAATTGTTGTCGATAAACATTTTCAACGATTGTTTATTCTTGAGGTTATTCTCCAATGAATTAAAATTTATAAACACTTTCAGTGGAAATGTCTACTTACTATCTAATCATTTCGGTGGTTGATCAACACATTTGTAATAGAATGTTAAAGCCTGAACACACTTCAAGCAGTTGTCATCTTCACCTTGCTGTTACTTCACAGGTGACCGTCTCAGAGCTGTATCTTTTAGCGAATTACCATTTTATAATATATGACCTCTAGCTGCATATATTTTGTTCTTCTCGAGAAACTCAAGCGGAGAAGGCTTACATTGCCTTACATGACTCAGAGTGTTAGTCTCACAGACTGATAGATTTTTTTCCAACTTGATCCTACTCTCGTTAATATAGTGGGTTGGGGTAGACAGTGGGTTGACCACGTAGCGCGTGTTGTAACCGCACCACCTAGTGCGGTTTGACAATCTCATCAATCGATTATTTAAACAGCGTAATGAGAAGACGAAGATCACCTGAAACATGTGATGTATTAGCGCTATACATTTCGAACAATCTGATCATACATGGACTAGTCAAACCACTTATACGAAAATTTACGAAAAGGTCAATGAAGTTAATGGGAAACATAGGAATCGGAAGGGATAGAAAAAAAAGGAAGACCTTATTCTTGGTATGAAAATTAAAATCAATACTACCAAGGTAGGTTCAACGTGAGTACAAATTGTTTTTGTATACATAAAGGGGTTTAAATTTACGGATGGCAAGAGCTTGAATAAATTTAAGCACTCGGCTCTGACCACTTTTATGTAGTACTTTAAAGGCTGTTTTCATGTCTATCCTATGGTTAGTTTCTAGTATATGTTTAGCGATAGACGAAGATGGATGTTTGTCACCTGCACTTATCGAATCTGTTGAGGTCATTTGTTTTTGTAGCCACTGTGGTACATGTTCAACCTTCCTTAACAGCATATCAATCGATTATTTACTTATTATACCTGAAACTCTACGTTAAACTTCTGTGTTGTTCAAGTATTGGCTTCGTCGTTTTTCATCGGTTTTATGAAGGAGATGATAGTCAGTTACTGGAAGCCTGCCTCTTCATTTCGTTCTCACCTAATGGTTATTTTTTACAGGTATATAGTAGGATAGAGCAAATTTCTGTATAGGACGCTCATTTTATAATAGACGTTTGGATGTCTCCCTAGGAGCAGCGTAAAAGGTATGCTTTGTCAAACGTGTACCCGTAACTTGTGTAATGTATATCGAGATTTCGGCGTGTACCATCCTACTAGGATCGATACTAATGATTGCCGTTGTCAACGCAGTCGATCAGATGTGTCATCAATGCAAAGCACTTCTTAAATGCCAGTTTTCATGTTAAAGGAGAGAAATATATTCCAGACATTCTTAAATTATCATTGAAAGTGTCTAGATTACTCTGTATACTTCCGACATCGCCTAACAGAAATATGTTATATGTGAACTCTAAGTCGAAGGCGAGTAGGAAGACCTATTACTTAAGGAAGTCTGTGATGTATTTACATGAAAACAAAGATTGAACATCGTTGATGGACATATTTAAAGATTATGACTCTTTGTAGACTCTAACACCGGCCATGAATATTGAAGTAAAGAACTATTCCAAAGGTGATATACCTACCAGATACTTCTTTTGATATCTAGGATTTATGCTAGGTGTGGATTAATGATCACCTGAACACAGTTGTAGAAACAATATGTGTAGAATGCAATGATTACATAGACATTGCGTTGACGTCTTGACATCTACATACAACTTGCAAACATCATAATTCGTTGATGAAAATCATTACTGAAGTAAGTAGCTAGTAATCTTCATCTATCTGAACTTTTCCATTCGACATGTAGTGTAACTGAAATACTGTGACTATTGCCGTTTTGGTTGATGGTGGCGGTTCGTGAAGATTGAGTCTGCTATTTTGAATCGAATCGAAACTCACTCAGAAAACTTGTACACATTCGTACAGTAGATAGTGAGTCACACTTGTTGTATGAAGGCTTATTATGCATACTATACCTAGCTGCGAAACTTTCTGTGGACTGGGTGGGATTCGAACCTACAGGCCACTAGTTGCAGGTTAACTCCCTAGAGCAACGAGCTCTGATTAGATCATGGACTATCGTGTCAGAGTAACACGTATCTTGCATTAGCACTGTACTATTAGAAATTAGTTACTATATTTCATTAGCAATACCATGTTTTCATGTCTAATATTTACTACTTTTCTTTTTCAGGATTCTAATGTTACAGGCTGTGTAAATATCCTTCCTAGTTCCATGACTATTCTAAAACCGAAGGAAACGATATACACATCAACGATCAGCTAGTTGGTATTACTGTTGCTACTTGTGGTGCGACAACAGTGACATTAGTCCCATACTGATTTTTATTTCTTCATTCTCCTCTTGTTGCTGCGTATTTATTCTCCATTCCATTAAGATCATTCTGTCCTAATATTTGTGTGTATTACTTGCAACACACCAAAACTATGCTTGACGCTTTACTTTTATCGGATAAACAGTAAAATATAAGTACTCTGTTTTCTATTCAAAACTTTTTCCTGTTCATCATCTTGGCACTATCGCCTGAATTAATCATATCAATAAAATATGTATGCGTGTGTATCATAATTCAGAGATCATAATCTATTTACATAGCATTTCCACCCCCCCTCCCTCAAGTATTCTGTTTATTTGTTTTTTTCTGTGTGTTATACTACTGATTTTCTGCTTAAATTGTAACTGACACAGATCGATACTTAACTACTTTCTTGTAAATAATTGTCAGTAATTTTGTTGATGTTATCAGTAGCATTAAGGTGAATTATTTTCACAATTGCCAGCATCTCCCACCTTCCCATGCATTTCCTCGATATTTTAGTGTGCATCATACACAATGTCATCTTTCTTGTGTATGTATATACTTGGTATATTAGTTACCAATATCTGTCTATATGTTTATCTTCATTATGTCTCTGTATATGTGTATGTCTATCTAACTCCATCTGTCACACTGCACATTCTCAACCAATTGTTTTACAGACCAGCTACATATTGCGTGGGTGTTGGCCTGTTTCTTCTACTATATTGTCTAGTTTTCTTCCAATGAAAATCGCTCTCTCACTTCAACACACATTTGTGCTACATTCAACGTCAATTCATGTGCATATACATTATTGTTTATAAATTACCGAACGAAGTACAATTCCCATCAATCTGTATACAATTCCAATCATACGCCATTCTTTGTTCGGCTTTTTTCTTTATTCTTCTCCTCATTTTATGCAGAATAAATTTGAAAGCAGACAATTTCGACTTACCAATGTCATTGATATCCTTTTCATTGTTTTCCTTTTTTTTTTTGTATATGTATGCTTTTTTTATACATACTTTTTTGTTGCTTCTGTATATCACCAACCACATTATGCTTTCTGAGTGTTTCTACTATGAAGATTTATTTATTATTTAAGGTATTCGTTCTGTTACACATTATACATCATTGAAACTGATCAGTGAAATCAGCTGACCATGAATTGAACGTAATACCGAGCTCTCATTGAATTGTCAAGCTAGTTACAAGTATGTTCATCAGTTTAACCACTTGTGAAATGCTCATTCAAGTATTTAGTAAAGTGTAAAATATTGTTTGAACGCCATAAAGCTACTGAAATGTGGGAAAGCAGCACGACCAGATGGAATCCCACCAGAAGCACTGAGAACAGATGCAGAGACAACAGCAGCGGACATGCTCACACCACACCACTATTGCAGAAGGTGTGGAAGGAAGAGAAGGTACCTGCCAAGTGATTGAAGAAGGGATACCTTGTCAAACTGGCGAAGAAGGGAGACCTCAGTGTTTGTAAGAACTAGCGCGGAATCGCTCTCCTGTCCACCCACCCAAAGCAAGCAAAATATTAAGCCGCATCATCCTGGAGAGAGAGGCTAAAGGGTGCATTGGATTCAAAACTATGATCGGAACAAGCTGGCCAGCTGGCTTTAGGAAGTACAAATCATGTGTGGACCAAATTGTAAAGCTACACTACGCATCATCATAGAAGGGAGTATAGAATGGTAGTCAAGTCAACTCTACCTCAACTGCATCGACTTTGAGAAGGCCTTTGACAGCGTTGACCGAGAAGTAATTTGGAAACTGCTTCAATACTACTGAATACCACAAACCTTTATCAGTCTCATTCAACAACTATATGAAGATGTCACATGCCAGCCAAGTAATTCACAATCGGAAACTCAGTGATGCTTTTGAAGTGAAGTGAAGACAGGAGCACAACAAGCCTGCCACCTACTATCACCCATCATATTCCTCATTGTGGTCGACTGGACTCGATCATGCAACAAACACCACCATCACCACCACCAACAACAACAACAAGCTCCAATCACCATGAACGGGAGAAACTTAAAGGAAGTAGCCTATTTCACTCACCTTTCTAGGCAGCATCGCTTCAACTACAGGTGGTGGCACAGGCACAGATGACGACGTCAAAGCCAGACAGGATTGGAAAGATAGTAAGATAGGCGTTGATTAACCTGAGACCAGTGTGGAGATCTTCTGCACTGCACTGCACTGCACTGCACTCAGCATAAAGCGTGAACAACATCCGGATTTTGAACACGAACATCAGTCAAGTCAATGCTTGTGTATGATTGAGAGACTTGGTGACGCGTTACGAAAGGGATTTCCAACAAAGTGTAGATATTCATCGAGAACTGCCACCTACGCTGGTTCGTTACTGAAGATCATATGGTCAGGTTAATAAGAATAGCAATAAGGAACTGTAGCTGGCTGGCTGGCTGGTAATGAACGAACCAGCAACCTATGGCACAACAAATATGCAGTGGAAGGAAGTGTAAGTGTGAGTGGAGATGGATTGGGCATACACTGAGAAGACCATTTGTGGACATCACGCGCCAGACCAGGCCCATGAGTGGAACCCAGATGGGAAGGGATGAATTGGGTGTCTGAGCAGAGGGTGACATGTAGGAGATCATGTGAGGAGGAACTGAGAGCTTGTGGGCTGTTGTGGAGCCAGGTTGGAAAGATTTCAGAGAAGAGAGTGTAATGGAGACGTGCTACTGAAGCTCTATGTTCCATTAGGAACCCAAGGGACTAATAATAATAATAATAATAAAAATATTGTTTAGTAAGAATTTGGACGAACTGCTCATTTTGGAAAGTTAAATAACATGGTCTCACCCAATAGCTTATGTCATTTTCACTTAGTGGATTACGATCACTTCTTTAGTTCAGAAAAGAAAGGCTTTACTATGTTTCCGTTTCATGATTTATTTCAACGTAGTAGTCATCATGAACTGGATGCTCACCGCTGAGGTATCTCATACTAGGATAAAAAAATCTGCTGTCCAGTACTTCTAGGTTTTCAATGGTTCTCCAACCGTCATCAGTGTTTAATGAATACCACCTTGAAAGCTTTATATCAACAGTTCACTGAATATCGATTGACTTTACAGTTCACACTATCAACTGTTGAAATGACCAGTCAGGTTTCGTCACTGTCTCTGATACGGTAGCTTTCCTCGGGCAGTAATGTAAGCTAATTGATTTTTTCAGTAATTGCTAAGGCGGTCATATATGTATGATCATAGGAGAAAATGAAATGACGAAGTCATTTACTAAGCTGTACATTGGTGAATGTGTTACAGTGGGTAGGACATTCCAGAATTATCTGTCAAGGGTCAGGTTATATTCAATAACGGAAGAAAGTCACACAATACAAATGAAGGCTTAGAGTAGGAAGGTAAACAAGATGTAAAGAAGATTAAAGATGTAATTGCCTGATACAGAGTTTATCTAGGACACTCAAGGCTTTGTGGTGACCACTGCCAGGACAAACGTTAGGCCTCCTTTTTAGGACACATAGAGCTGGTTTGAATCACTGGATGGCTTCTACTTCAGCTATATCCAAATGTCTTGATCTCACTCGCTTTTAATGGCTTGATCGAACCACGTAGATGATTTTGAAATAGTAAAAGGAATTGAGTGACCTGAGTTCACAAGGTGTTATTGAGCTGAAGATGCATTCCCGTTCTCCCTTAGCTAGCCAGGCTGGATAGTGTTCTCGAGGGGGTGCAGTTATAGCTGATGTACTCAGCTCCTCAGGGGAAGTAAATTGACCGGTAAATGAAATTCCAAGACAACTTTGTGTGTTACAAATAAATCCAATCACATTTCGGGCAACAGGTGATATGATTCATAAGAAATGAAGCTAGTGATCAGAGTTCAAGTCATATTAGTGATCACCAGTAGTAGAATCCAGAAAGTGTGTTTCTCCCCATCTGGGACTCGTCAGCTGGGTTTACCTACCTCCTAGTAAGTCATCTGTCTTGGATACGAGTCTTATCGGAAACAACATCACTCACTAGGAGACAGGCACACCCAGGTGATGAGTGCCAAATAAGACGAAAACTCCGGCAATATTGAGACATCCACACAGGGTCCCATATGCTACTAATGGACGGTCAGTTATGTCCAATCAACGACCTACATTCACAAGCTACAACATGGAACACTTTCATCAGCTGTTATATTTTTCAACTACCTATTCATTTCACACTCTTGAACACTTTCCTGTAAGTAATCACCACTTGTCTATACTGTTGTCTAACCACTGAACACATTAATCGAAGAGATTGTAATAACGAGATTTTCTCAGTTTGGTGGCCAAATCATAGAACTCATCGATGCATGGCATTTGTTCAGGACTAGACAACACAAGAAATCGGTTACTCATTATTTATCAATCATTGTACTTCATTCAGATGTACATGAGCTGATTGATTGCATTACCAGGTGACTAGGTTTGGAATCGTTCAAATTGGATCAGTTGCATCAACGTCCTGTCGAACAGGACTTCCTTTCAATGGACTCCTACCATCTAATATGAAAACATAGTGCACCGAGGTTTTGTGTCATTTCGCATGGTGGTCACATCGAAAAATTTCATCGGTAGACTTCGATCGACACTAAGGACCCGACAACCACATGGTTTATCCTTTGATGAACAACTCGTGAATATAATCAAGTCCTACAAGACGTAAGTTGTGGTCCGAGTAGCTTGTTGTTTACGTCTCTTACTCCAGCACTGTGCGGTGCGAGTCCGAACAACCAGGGAAACACCAGTTTCTACACACACAGCCTGCTGATGAAGGCTGGAGAGCGCGAAGTTTAAAAATCTAATATTCAATCCAATCAAGCGGCAATTAATCAATAAATCGAGGCTAGACAAGGGGATTGGAGTTGTACTATTGAATGGAGACGACTATGATTATAAAATGAGTAGCATCCTTGA